GCGGACCGCTTTCGTGCAAAGGGAGGCGGAGGTGGAGGATCAGGGACAAGGTAAATACAACATCCGATGCACAAATATACTGAGCAATGCGGTTACTCAATCTGTGCACGGAGACAGCCCGACCCCAGTATACACTGCAGAAAGTTGGACTATGCTGGCGGTTGGACCTCGAGGAGGGGATGCGCGGTCCCTTGTGCCCCTCCCCCAATGTCTCTCGGACAGAGAAGGCTCGTCATGCCAGACGGTTAGCAAAGGGGAGGGGGGAGGGGGACGGGGAACGGAGATGAACGATCCGAGACGACAGTGCGTTGGTGCCAATTTTACGCAGAAAGGCCTGGAAGCACGCCGAATCCCGACGAGGGAACACTTCAAGGTCCCCGGTGTCATCCTCCCCCGGGCTCAAGGATAATCCAGCTCTTCTTGCAAGACGGCCAGCACGAGAGGGAAAGGGAAGGGAGGGGAGGACGGGGCCCAAATCATTTCCTCATCCTCCTCTTCCCTCCTCTTCCCTCCTCGTCGTCCTCCTCCTCCTCCTCCCTCCCTTCCTCATCCCGCTTTTCTCCCTCCTCCCTGAGTAGCAAAACCGCCGCCTCCTCCTGCCTCCTGCTTGTCTTCTTCCACGCCGCGGCGAGATCTTTACATACTGCTACTATTCCCACCTTCCCCCTCCCTCCTTCTTCTCCTTCCTCCCCCTCGTCCTCATCGTCCTCCTCGTCCTCATCCTCCTCGCCCTCCTCCTCATCCCCCTCCTCCTCCTCCTCCTCCTCCTCCTCCTCCTTTCTCCTCCTCTTCCCTGTCTCCTCGATGGAGGATTACCCCCCCCAGGGCGGTCATCGCCCTGCGAGGCAGAAACAACCCAAGGAAGCTCAACGGAAGCTCCTTCTACTCCTCCCCCCTCCCTCTTCCTCCTCCTCCTCGTCCTCCTCATCGTCCTTCCTCCCCTTCTTTCTCCTACTTCCCTTCCGTTCTCCGTCCCTCCTTTTCCTCCTCCCTCCACCTCCTCTTCCCGCCCTTCTTCCTCTCCCTCCTCCTCCTCCTCCTCCTCCTCCTCCTCCTCAGTTCTACCGCCCTCTCTCTCCTCTTCCTCCTCCTCCTCCTCCTCCTCCTCTTCCTCCTCCTCGTCCTCCTCCTCCTCCTCTTCCTCCTCCCTCCTCTTCCTCCTCGTGTTTCTCGTCCCCCTCTTCCTCCTCCTCCACCCTCTTCCTCCTGCATCCGTCTTCCTCCCGCTGAGGTCCCAGGAGGTCTCTGGAGGTCTTACCTTGGTCACGCAGGCGCAGCGAACCACAGACAAGGCGAATGTGATATGATATCGTTCATACGAAAGTGCCAGGTTACCCACGCCTCTGTGCGCGATCGGTACGCACAAAACAACACGGCGAGTACCCGTGAATCACCGCATGTTGTGTTTGCTACGCAGATGCGACCCTAGGGTGATTGCATCCCGACGCTCCCGCTTTACATGGTTACAGGGGGCCTGAGGCAACTGTTGCTGCTCGGCACGAAGAGGAACCACTCACTATGCGGGCTTCAGGGCAAACACCAGACGTGGCATCACCGATCGATAGCCTTCATGTTTACAGCACCAGTGCAACGTCGCATGTCGTCGTTTAGAATGCTGGCACAGGCAATGCAACGTGACCACGAATGGTGAGGATGGAGAATGCGGCAAGGTGAGAACTTAAAGCGTGAAGAACAACTGCATGCGACGCCTGTGAACATGTGTATGTACACATCTCACAGGGTGAGACAGCGAGAGAGCGAAAGCAAACCACAGAGAAAGAGAGAACGAGAGCAGGACACATGACCTTAACGACACCCGATCGCATGTAAATGACCAAATGGAAAAACACAGCGGGCAGCCAGGACTCGCAGACAGAGACGATGACTCGCAGACACCTCCCGAACCTGAACGGGGAGATGACGAGGAGCAGAGACGGGTCAGCGAGACGACGAACGCTGGGCGGCAAAGCTAGGGGCGGCGCCAGCGGTTCTTGTCCAAGTCGCTCACGTTGGCGATGAACACGATGGTGAACAAGATGTTGAACAGGACGAGGATGCCAGAGATCCCCAACGTGCTCAAGTCCTGCCGACTCGCTGGCGCTGCGCGGTGGTAGGTGGAGGTGCGGGGGGGCAGCATGCGCACTGCGGCACGCTGACGTCCGACGTCGTGCCACAAATCCGACGTCGTGAGGAATCTGGTGGAAACGGTCGACCGCATCGTCGCTGCGGGTGCTTCAGGCCAGATCTGCCCACGATGCCCTCAAAGCCACATGTGGGTAACGAACAAGCAGTTGCGCTTCTCCCCGCTCCCCACCACCGACGCCCACCTGTGTGTTGAGCATTCGCTTTGAACAGGGTATTGCTGCTCCTCGTTTCCTCTCCTCTTCTCCTTCAGCCTGCTCCCTTCGCCCTCGGGCCATCCTTGCTTCCTCCCCCTTCCTTATTATTCGCTTGCCCTGGGCGCTGCCGTCTCCGCCTTGGACGCCACTCTCGTGGGCCTGCGGAGGGTCGAACGGGACGCGCCCTTAGCCAGATCCAAACAGGAACTCGCCTGCCCTGGTGCTGCCAGCTGCGCCAGTCACCCCACGTTCGTGAGCTCGTGGAAGGCTCAACGGACCGCGGTCCTGCCCACGGAGCTTCGCCGCGCCGTGTGCTGAACAGTGCGCTGATCCGCCACTGTGGCGGACCCCGCGGGTTCCAGCGGAAGACGTCCCCACAAGAGTCCAAATGGAATCTCGGCTCCCCAGCCCCGCCCACGCGCAACTGCCGCCACTGTCGCGAACTCCTGGCGGGCCAAGCGGGGTGCGCGCCGCGTTGGCCTGCGTCGATCCGCGTGATAGCTCGAAGATCTGGGCGCTGCCAGCCACGTAACGCTCGCACCTTCCGTGAGCTCGCGGGGGGTCCAGTCACCACGTCCGTGATCTCGTGGGAGGTCCAGCAGCAGAATTGTCCGCTGCTCAGACCAATGTGTGGGGAGCGGGGGGGCAGGGCTTTTAGGTGTTGGTGCCCTTTTGTCCTCTGGGTCGCCGGGAGGCTTCCCGTCGCCCACGGCCAGAGTCGGCTCAAAAGTCTCGCCAGGACACCCCCCGTCCTCCTCCTCCTCCTCCTCCTCCTCCTCCTCCGCCTCCTTCTCCTCCTCCTCCTCCCTCCTCCTGCTCCTGCTCCTGCTTCTCCTCCTCCTCCTCCTCCTCCTCCTCCTCCTCACCTCGCAAAAGTCTGGCTGCCGATCGCACGGGCCCTCGCACAACGTGCCGAGCTCGACACCCTGTGCTCGGGCAGCTCGCACACGCATGCGACCCGGGACCATTGCAGTAGCAGTTTCGCGAGGAGCGATGAGGACGACGACGAGAAAGGGAAAAGGGGGACACCTTTCCACCAAACGCATCAAACCCCCAACGACGCGATGCCCACACTCGAGATGCGACGGGGGAGTCAACAGTCTGTCCTGCCGTAGGACCGTCTTCTTCCTCCCCCCCAGGTGAAACGAAGACGCTGCGGAAAAGGGGGGAGGTGAAGATGGAATGAGACACAACACACTGACCTGAAATACAGTCGGACTTGATTGGACGGCCCAGAGACTGCTCCAAGCGGCCCAAGATTGGAAAACTGTTCCCTTCTCAAAACATGATTTCGCCGTTTGCTTAAGATTTGGGCCACAGAGCCAGTTGGCGGAGCCTGCGTTGCCAGAACTCGACTCCTGGGACTGTTGCTCTCGATCGGACTTGATTGGACAGGACACCCGAGGGGACACAAAAGCTCTTCCGACGGCATCGGTGCCCCGGCACACCAAGGGCCATGTGGGCTGCCCGGGTCGGGATAGACGGGACACCAAGGGTGCCCTCGATTTGGCATGGTTGACCTGCTAATCAGGGCCGACTGTAGCCTACAGTGGGGGGCCGTGCCAAGAAGCACCCTGCTTGCCTCCAGGGTGCCCTGGGTTTCTTGGGTTTCGATGGTCTTGCGATGGAGAGCGTGACGTTCCCCCTCCAAAAGTCCATGGACGTCCTGGGGTCTCAGGGTTGGGTTTGTTGCGGAAGGTTTCTGGTGCTCGGGCCCCCACTGTACCGATCGACCTGCAACAGGCGAGCCAACAAGCGCAGACAAGGACCGGGGAAACGGGCGCACGCGGCGGTTCACATGGCCGCTGGATGGCGCAGCTGCCCGAGCTGATGAGCCCAACACGAGCGGAGAGAGGAACCGGGGAGAAGGATGTGGGCCAAGGGGAGAGAGAGAGAGAGAGAAGGGACGGGCAAGGTTTCACGTCGGTCGGAAGAAGCAGGTAAAACCATGAAGTAGGAAGGCGGATAAAGTAGATTTGGTTCAGGCCCTCCCAGAGAAGAGCACAACACAGCAACACCATGTCGGTTCTTGAAGTAGACATGCGCTTGAAGTAGAATGGGATCTGGGCAACCAGAAATACCGACTGCCAACGACCCACAAGTAAACGGGCGGGTGGGGCGCGGGGAAAAAATCGCACCACTCCGGTCTGAAGGTGCCGGCGACACTCAGGGCATCGCGTGATCGGTCACGAAAACCATAATCTAGCACACCACGGGCGGGTGCACCGGGAGGGGAGGGGCAGGAGAAGAGTGCCCGGGTTCCAAGTCGAGTGCGTGCACCCACTCGCCAACTGAACTGGCCGAGCGGGGCAGCTGAGGGGGCCGAGCCCGCGAGCAGTGCCCGCCGTGGTCGGCCGCCAGCGGCCCCGCAGAGGCCACGCGCGCGGCGCGTGCGCACAGCGGCCCCCTGCCCAACCGCTTCGGGGGGAGGGGAAGGGATCTGATTTGGGGCTTGCGCGCGTGTGGAGCCAGGTGGCTGTCACGCGCAGGCGGCGCTGCCGCAAGCAGAGGGCTCATAAAAAATCACCTGCGCGGGCACCGAGCAGGCAAGTTCAGCGCAGGAAGTCCCACCGAACCCATCCCGAACCCATCCGGGGAGAGGCACGGGGAGAAAGCAGGGCTTTTGGATTGCACGCGCGTTGAACCTGGCGGCTGTCGCGAAAGAGTGGCGCTGCGGCTAGCAGAGGCAGTTAGCAGACAGCTCGTGTGTCTATATTAAAAGTCGAAGCTCGAAAACTCTGCACGGGCACCGAAAGTCAAGTTCAGCACAGTAAACAGTTCAGGCGTCGAGGAGGGAGGGGAGGAGGAGCGCCCTCGGCTAGGGCAGCGCCGAACCGCACGCCCTCGGGCGGGCTCCACAGCTGGTACGGCGCAGCTCCGCACTGGGGCGGGGAATGGGGGGGAGGAGGAGGAAGACAAAGGCAAGCCTCGGCTACACGTAAGAGTGACCCTGGGTAAGAGTGACCTTTGGTGCGCGGTTTTTTGGGGGCCGCGGGGGGGCCAAACACAAGCGCGCAAGACGCCACTGCCGCCTCGCGTTCGGCGATCGGGGACCCAAATGGGCCCGCACCAAAGGTCACCCCGGCGAAGGGTCGCCCGGGTCGAGGGAGACGTGCCAAGCAAGCCCGGGAGCGGCGACGGGCCCCAGACGGGGCTTGGGTGAACCGAGCAGCGCTGCTGTGTGTCAGCCCCTCGTGGCCAGAGTTTCCGTGCGTGCATCATGTCCCCGCAGCAGGGACCGGAGGAAGCGAACGCGCAGTGGGGGGAGGCGACAAGAGGGGGGGGGGCAAGAGGGAGTGGAAGAACGATGGATCAGACGAGAGCTCGCGCATGCCGCAGAAGGCTGCCGCGAACAGCCCCGAACGGCACCGCACGCTGCCGCGGCAGCGCAGTGCGTAGGACGTTTGGGGCACGTGAGCTCGACGGGGCAGGACGTCACGTAGGATGTCCAGCTCACGGCTCCTCGACACCCCCGGGCGATGTCACCCTCGCAGCCGCCGCCGCTGTCGTGACCTTCCAGAGGGGGCCCAGCGGCGCGCGCGGGGTCTTGCGCAGACCCGCACGGGCCCTCGCCTCCAGGGACGACCGCCGACGACGCGCACGGACTACAACCAGCCAGTATGCGAAAGACGCACGAGAAGGATGCGAGGGCCCTGGAAGGCCGTCTCGAAGCTGTTCGAGCGGGGCGCGGCCAGCGAAAGCGGCCAAGGATGGGCCGAAGGGGCAAGGGTGCAAGGGTACCCTCGGGAAAGATGCCCGTCCTTCTCGTGCGGGCTGGCCTTGCTGCTGCACGTCGGGCAACCTGCCCGTGATCCGTGGCCCGGGCCTGGGCTTTCGCTCCAGAGGGCCGCCCGCGGACCTGGCGGTGCGCCTGCGAACCTGGCCGCCGCCGACGACGGCGACAGCGACGACGACGACAAGACGACGACGGCGACGACGACGACGCTGGCTCGCTTTCGCTCTGGCGCGCCTGCTTTTCTATACGCGCGGCTGGCGCGCATGGATGGCCGCCCAATGTGGAGGCCAAGACGTTGGCTGCAAGCTCCACGCCTGCAGCGTTCCTGCATGGGCATTGCTGCAACATCCAATTCGTCGTCTCCGATCGCAGGGCATCCCTCCTCGCCCTCAACGCCGTCCTCTATCTCCTCCTTGCGCTGGTGCTCGCCATTGCAAGTATTACAACCACTTCCTCCATGAATACGCTGCCCCCTCTTCATCCTCCTATTCGTCGTCTGTCGTCCTTGTGTCTCCCACCTCCGTCGGTATTGCCACACGTTGCAGATTGGTTGTGTACGTCCCTGGGTCTGTGTGTGTGTTGTTTTGTCACGGCGCTTGGATGCCAGGGAAGCCGTGGAGCAGGAGGAAGGATGGAGGAGGGAAGAACAGACGAATGAGAAGGGGGGTCACCGACGAAGGGTCACGAAAACTGGAGGGGAGGACCATGATAGGGGGCAGGGAGACAAGGAGGAGAGGCAGAATAGAAGGGGGAGAAGGAGCACTGAGGAGTATGTAGAGAACGACGAGGGCGATAATATTATGAGGAGACAGGCAGGCTCATGGCAGTCCTGCTGGTTCCACTTCCGAATCTGCTCGTCTTCCTGCGGTTTGCTCTTGATCCGCGTCGCCAGTCTCTTCTTCCCTTGCCTGTGGGGCAAGCAAGCAGATACAATGGACAAGTCATTGACGCTCACATCCCAAACATGTGCGTACGTATACCTACACCAATCTTCGTGTGTACAGATAGTCGGATGTACGAATATGTATACGTATGCCTATATACATGTCTTGGTATACATCTATGCACATATATATATATGTGTATATATATGCATGTATGTACAGGTCTGCGGGTATGCAAACATGTATGTATGCATGCACGCATGCATGAGTTGATTGATGCACGTATGTATGTACACGTGCGACTGCATGCATATACGCATGTATGTATGAATGCATGTATCATATAAGTGTATAGATAAGTATGTATGGATGCGTGCATGTATGGATGTGTGTACGCATACATGCATGTGCGTCTATATGTACGATACGTTTGCCGGGATGTCTTTGTGTGTATACGCGTATGCATGCATGAATGTATGCATGCATGTATGTATGTACGAATGCAGGCATGTACGTACGTGCGTGCGTGAATACATATATATATATATATATATATACACACAAGACTGCATTGGCGCTTCGCGCCATGCACCTTGGTCCTTGAGGCTTTGCTTGTGTTGGTCGTTCGCGGCATCCCTAGTGGCCTTGGAAATTTGGCCCCTCCCCTGCGGTGGTTTTCGGAAGCCTTCAACATTTCAAGCGGTCCGTGGCCTTTCTGGGGCCTCCGGGGGCTCCCGAAAGGCGCCGGGTGGAGGGTCAAGAATAGGGGGGGGGGGACGGGGAGCGAGGAGAGGAAAGCGGGTGTGGGGGAGGACGAGTGGTGGAGCGGCAGAAAGAGGAGGAGGAGGACGCAAAGAAGAACAGGAGGAGGGAAAGAGATGGCGCCGTCGGGGGACGGCGAAGAGTTTCGGTTGCGCCTCACCGAGGAATCATGAGGAATGGCAAGCGACGCGAATGAATGCCAAGCAAACCGACTCAATGTCAAGCAATGCCGAAAAATACAGAGCAATGCTAAGCCGAGGATGTCACGTTGCAGCGGGTCGCAAAGGGGTGCGCGAAAGTAAGCAATTTCTCGGGAGTGCACCGAACCCTGGGCTCGCAACAGATTTCCGCCAAATGTGGTTGTGAAGCCGGGATTCGAGTCAATTTGGTGGGTCGGAATTCCGTGTAGGCCTTGTTCGAGTCTTGGTGGGCCGGCTTGGGGCCTTCTCGAGCCATCCTGGGACTATCTTGGGCCGTGTTGGGGAGTTTGGGCCCTCTCGGGACCTTACGGGGGCCACGTGGGCCTTCCTGGTGGCCTCCCACGGCATGTTTGGGGGCCTCCCATGGCCCTGTTTGGCCGTTTTGGACGCTGCTAAGACCGGAACAGCGAGTAAGCTGAAAATGCACGTTTCCCACAGGGAATGAAACGAGTTCTGCCTTCTGGGAGTCCTGTTCAGGGCCTCCTGGGCCGTCGGGGGGCCCTCTGGAAGCCATCTGGGTCCTTCCTGGAGCGCTCTTGTGCTGTCTTGGGTCTCTCTCCGGTCTCTCTGATCACCGCTCTGATCGCTTGGGGTCTGCTGACAATTCCCGGCTAAGCGCCCTGGGAGGTCCGGGACGAGCCGGAAGATTTCTGGGGGGCCCAAAAACCGTGGATCCTGGTGGTCCGGTTTTGGGGCGGGGGGGGGTCGCCCCCCACTGCTTGCAAACATGAAGGAAGAGGAACATGCATGGCATGCATGTATGTATGTACCTATGTATGTCTGTCTGTATGTCTGTCTGTCTGTCTGTCTGTCCGTCTGTCCGTCTGTCCGTCTGTCCGTCTGTCCGTCTGTCCGTCCGTCCGTCCGTCCGTCCGTCCGTCCGTCCGTCCGTCCGTCTGTCTGTCTGTCTGTCTCTGTCTCTCTGTATGTATGTATGTATGAATGTATGTATGCTGGCATGCTTGTATATATGTGTACATGCATGTCTGTATGTATGTATGTATACATGTCTGTCTGTCTGTCTGTCTGTCTGTCTGTCTGTCTGTCTGTCTGTCGGTCTGTCTGTCTGTCTGTCTGTCTGTCTGTCTGTCTGTCTGTCTCTCTCTCTCTCTGTCTGTCTGTCTGTCTGTATGTATGTACAGGCCTCGGAACAAATTAGCGAACACTCATGCCACATTCATCTGTCAACGCCTCCCTCTCCCCCCAATGTTCAAAGTTGGCGGTGTGTCTGATGACGTGAACTTCGACCGCAGTCTCCCCCGCGCGTGCCAACACTGAGTTTTTGGGGGAGGGGGGGTGTTCAGTAATTGTTTCCCTCTACCGTATGTATGTATGTATGTATGCATGTATGTATGTATGCTTGCATGCTTCCATGCATGTATTCATGTATGTCTCTACGTACGTGTGTATATCAACCACCGTGCCCTGGGGTACGAGTTCGAGTGTCCTCAGGTCCTTGGCCCAATCCCCTAAACCTCAGTCCTCAGTCCTGAAGACTCTTTCGGGGGCCGGAGACCCCGAATTCACGAAGCTCTTCGGGCCGCGTGCCCCCCCCGGGCTCCCCCGAGTTTTGTCGCCGGACCTGTTCGGGGCCAAGGGGGGCCCACGACGGGCCACGAGGGCCCCAAGAGGCCGCCAAGACGGTCCAGAGATGCCCCGAATCGCCGCACGCTCGGTCCCAAGATGCCCCCAAGGCGGCCAAGATGCCCCCGAGACGGCCCAATAAGCCTCCGCGACGCTCCAAGAGAGCCCCAAGAGCCGTCCCAAAATGGTCCCGAGAGGCCATCTTCCCGTTAGTTTTTGCATGTGTTTGGGGTTCTCCACTTTTCTGGCTTCCGACGCTCCAAGACCTCCCAAGAGGCCTAGACCTCTCCAAGACGGCCCCAGAGGCCCTCTAGAGGGCCCCAAGACGGCCCGCGAGGGCCCCAAGACGGCCCAAGAGGCGCCCAAGACGGCTCCCGAGGGCTCTAAGAAGGCCCCAAGAATGGCCCACAAGGGGGTACACGAACCGAACATCCGGGCCTTCCGCCCCATGAACCGCCCAAGAGGCACCCAGGAGGCCCCAAGAGGCCCCAAGAGGCCGCCAAGAGGCCCTCACAAGGCCTCAAGAGGCCCCCAACAGGCCCCAAAAAGGCCCCAGCCCCGAAACAGCCCCCCAGAGGAATCAAATCTGTCTCCAGGAGGCCCCCGAGAGGCATCGACGAGATCCCAGCGTCCATTCAAGCGGCCTCAGACCCACAACCCAGGCACGGGGGCGGGATGGGCCGATGGCCATTGTATGCTTACATAAATATACGTATGCGGTGTTAATGCAATCGATCGTACTGCTTGCCATCGCCCGGACGTCCATTCCCCGTGCATGTTTCGTGTTCGTGCTTCTTTTCGTTGCTCGATGATCCAGGATGCTCCTCGATGGTCCTCGCCGAGTCGCCGAGAAAAAGCGCACACGTCCCAACGATGCCAAGACTACTGCTGGACACCCGATCCGTCGTGACCTCGGGTCCTGGCTCCCCGGGGCACCTTTTTCCCCGGCCCAGGGGCCGCGGGAGTGGCCCGCAGAGGAGGCCGAACACGGCGCAGGACGTCCAGGGCGATCCCCTCCCTCAGCAGCCCTAGACCTCAAGGCGAGAGCTCGAGCAGGAGATCGACACCAAAATAGGTTGACCCCAAGATTGTTTGACTTCAAGGCGAGAGCTCGAGCAGGAGATCGACTCCAGAATTTCCTTACCCTCAGACCGTTTGACTTCCAAGGCGAGAACTCGAGCAGGAGATCGACTCCAGAACGGGTTTGCTCTGGAATTGTTTGGTTCGCCGGGTCTACGAAGAATAATGTCGCATGCTCTTTAGATCTGCTGGACATTCTGCGCATGTTCACAGATTCGACGGTAAGCTCAAGTGGGGGCAGATTCAACGGTAGAAGGAGAAACAGCGCGATAAACATAAACTGTTGGCGCTCCGCGCGATTTCTTGGATCTACCAGGCGCGCGGAGCGCGCCAGGGGCGGCGCCGGAGGCGCCGCAGGGGGGCCCCTGCTCAGATCCAAGAAATCTGCGCGGATCGCCAACAATTTAGAACAACCGCACGCGCACACGCGCTGGCGCCTCAGGAGCGCCCACGCCGGGAGCGCCGCAAACGTGTTGCACAGCAACGACACGAACACGTCACGGGCGAACGTGTCCCAGATACTGCCGGTCGCGCAGTAGACCTGCGGGCGTCCCTGTCTCGCCCTTTCGCCGGGCGGCGGCGGCGGTTGGGCGGGAGCAGCCAGAGAGGCACCAGGGGGTGTTCCACTCCTTTCCTCCCCCTCCTCCCCCTCCTCCCTCCTCCCTGCTCTCCTCCCCCTCCTCTCCTCCCCCCTATATTGCCCAAAAATTGCAACATCGCAAACAATCACCACAGGAGCCCCAGACCCATCTTTCTGCTGCACTTTTCGAGCGGGATCGTTCTGTGAGGGTCCGGGGGCCGGAAACCGAGCGAAAATGCCCCTTGCGACAATTGCAACGCCAGGATCCCAGGGCACCTCTTTCCACTCTCCTCCCCCGCCCTGTCCTCCGCCTCCTTCCTCCTCCCCTGCCCTCCTCCTCCCACCCTCCTCCTCCTCCTCCTCCTCCTCCTCCTCCCCTCCTCCTCCTCCTCCTCCTCCTCCTCCTCCTCCTCCTCCTCCCCCTCCTCCCCCTCCTCCCCCTCCTCCTCTTCCTCTTCATCCTCCTGCTCCTCCTCCCTCCTCCTCCCTCCTTCCCCTCCTCCTCCTCCGCCCGTCCGCCACTTTCTCCTGATCTCAGAGGTCGCCCCGCGGGGGCGCGCGGCACCGGGCCGCACGGGCCTCGCTCCGCACCCCCCGAAGGAGGCTCGCGCTCGTGACCAGGGCTTCTAGAGGCCTCCCGAGATGGGGTCGGAGGATCGCGCCGCATCGCCGATACATGGGCGATGCGTCGGCGATGCATCGGCGATGCACTGGCGACGTCGGCGATGAATTGGCCCCATATCGAGCCGCATCGGCGATGCATCGCCGATGCTTGAGGCCCGGGCGCGCCTAGGAGGGTTCCAGGTCGAGGAGGTGCTCGCCGGCGCCGTTCGCTGCCGTCGGCATGTTTTTTGTTTTGGGCTTCGCGAGTGCGTATGTATATGCGCATACGTATACATATGCATATACATATTCACATTCATACTTACATACAGACATATGTGCAATGATACCAGTGAAAACCAACCATGATCTTATTCGGGCTTTAGGGCTATAGGGCTATTGGGCTATAGGACTATAGGGCTGTAGGTACAGGGCTATAAGGCTATTGGGCTGTAGGGCTATAAAGCTATAGGGCTATAAAACAGTACAGCTACACAGCTAAGCGGGCTATAGAGCGATTGCGGCTATGGGGCGATAGGGCTTTCAGGGCTATAAGGCTATAGGGCTATCGGGCTATAGGTCTATCGGGCTATAGGCTATAAGGCTATGAGGATATAGGGTAACAGGGCCATAGGCCTACTTGGGCAATAGGGCTATAGAACTACAGGGCTATAGGGCTATCGGGTTATAGGGCAAGAGGGCTATAAGGCTGTAGGGCAATAGGGTTATAGGGCTGCTGGGCACCCGGACACCCAGGCACCCAGGCACCCCCGGGCACCTCGTGGCATCCCTGGGCACCCGGGCAGGCCACCGAAATCGGCGACGTAGGTCACCTACACATATGAAACCGCTAGGGCCCCTACAGAGGCAAGCTCTGATTGGGGATATATATATAGTATATTATACACTACATATATACTATATATATACAAGACTGCATTGGCGCTTCGCGCCATGCACCATGATCTGGACGCTTCCCCGGCAAAGCAATCAATCATCGCTTGCTTCAGCAGGGGGAACTCGAGGCGTGGACGGGCGACCAGCTCATTTTTCTGATACCCCTGGTGCCTGCTGACACCGCGTTCGTCCGATGCGCTTCCACGCTACTCCGCAGGAGCGCGGGACAACATATTATTTCTTCATGCACGAAGGTCATCCAATACCCTTCCTCCTCCTTTTCTCCTCTAGTGGTTGAGTCCATCCTTTGGGGAAGTAAGGAGCATTCCCATGACACGCCGAAGAAGTCGCAGTTGCTCCAAACAAGCCGATGTTTGGTCGCTTCCTGAATGCCTGGACGGCTCCAGGCACTCAGGAAATCTTCGATAGTCGAACTTCGAATCCAGATACATTGCCTGTCTCTCTCGATCGAGGAATTTCGACCTCGAGCCTCAAGCCCGGAACCAAGATCTTCGGGTCAGTTCGATGTGCTTCCTAGGAAAACGCCGTCTGGGCGTTTTGGGGGCTCTTGAGGGCCGGCCTGGGGCGCTCTTGGTTTGTCCTGGGGCTGGGGCCATCAAGGAGTCTTCTGAAGCCATCTCGGGCCCTCTCGGGGGCCTCCTATGGGCTTCTTGGGGGTCTCCCATGGCTTTCGTGGGTCTCTCTTGGGAGCCTCCTGGGGACACCTTGGGCTTCTTGTGGCAAGTCTCGGGGCTTGGGGCACTCTTGAGGCCATCTTGGGCCGTCTTCAAGCCCTCTGGGGGGCCTCTTGGGCCGTCTTGGGGCGATATCGCGGGCCCATCGGGCCGTCTTGGACGCTGCGAAGACCCCAAAAGCGGATACTGATGCTAAAAATGCACATGTTCCAAAGGGAATGGGACGAGTTATGCTTCTTCGGGGCTCTCTTCACGGCCTCTTGGGGCGTCTTCGGGAGCCTCTTGGGCCGGTTTTTTACCATTGAACCATCGAGGGTCCTCTGGGAGCGCTCTTGTGCTGTCTTGGGTCTCTCTTGCGCCTTTCCGATCGCCCCTCTCATCGCCTTGAGTCTTCTCGCAAGGCCCGGCAAGGCGCCCTGGGAGGCGGCTCGGAAGGGCCAGCGGACCTTCTCTAAGGGCGTCCAGGGGGCCGCCGAGACGTCCGAAAGGGCGTCCGGGCGTCCCTGGGGGGGGGGGGGGGCCGGTCAGGGGGGAGCATCGCCTTGAGTCTTCTCGCAAGGCCCGGCAAGGCGCCCTGGGAGGCGGCTCGGAAGGGCCAGCGGACCTTCTCTAAGGGCGTCCAGGGGGCCGCCGAGACGTCCGAAAGGGCGTCCGGGCGTCCCTGGGGGGGGGGGGGGGCCGTTCAGGGGGGAGTCCGGGTAAGCAAAATATGAGAATAGAAACATGTATAATATACATCAATGTATATACATACACGTATTTACACACACACACACACATCTATATATATATATATATATATATGTATTGCCACGGGAGGTTGGCCCCGCTGTGGCTGCACTCGGAGGTCAGCCCGAGGCGTTTTCGATCACTCGTGCGGCCACGGGAATAAAATGAGAAAAACGCTATCAACATACACTTTTGGTGCTCCGCGCGGATTTCTTGGATCTGCGCAGGACCCCCCTCCCTGGCGCGCGGAGCGCGCCAAAGGCGGCGCCAGAGGCGCCGCCAGGGGGGGCCCAGGCGCGGATCCGAGAAGTTCGCGCGCAGCACAGTTTATGTTCATGGCGTTTTTGCTTCTTCTAGGGAACCTGGAACTGTCTCTACCGAGCCACTCTGGGGAGGGGGCACTGAGATCCGACGTTGCAGCAAAAATTGCAACATCGCGAACAATCACGACCAGAGCCCTTGACCACATCTTTCTGCGGCAATTTTCGGGCAGGGTCGATCTGTGAGGGCCTCAGGGCCCGAAACTGGGCGGCACGTCGTGACCATAACAGCAACGCCAGGACCTCAGGGCCACCCCTGCCCCCCTTATGCGCTTGGCTTGTCCCTCTGCTCCCTCTCGGCAGGCGCTCCCTCCCGTTGGCTGCTCCTCCCCCCCTGCTGCTGCTGGCGGAGGGGAGGAGGAGGAGAAGGAGCAGGAGCAGGAGCAGGAGGAGGAGGAGGAGGAGGAGGAGGAGGAGGAGGAGAAGAGGAGGAGGAGAAGG